GGTGCAGGTCCAGGAGGCAGGAGCAGGTCCGGCTGGCCTCCTCTCCTCTTTCCTCCTACTTCCCTCCCCTCCTCCAAGATCAGCTGTGGCAACCATAGTGGGGATCACAGACCCCACCGGGTGATTGGGGGGCGGGGGCGGGGGTCGTGGAACAAGGTCCCTCCTCCTGGGCTGCTCTGAGCTTTGTGTGGAATGAAAAACAAATGCAGAGGAGGCAGTGCGGGAGGAAAGGGCCCAGGTGGCCCGGGATTGGGGGGGGGGGGGCGGAGAGGGGCCAGGATACCCCGCATCCAGGGTTCCCATGGACCAGCTGGCCCTTGCTCAGGGATAAGCCACAGTCACTTTATACTGCTCCCTGGAGACATGGGGGGGGGGGGGGGTACTTGGGGAGCGGATGTGAGCCTCCCCCAGGGGGAGAGATGGAAGCTCCGCATCCCGTTCCCAGCCCTCCCTCCAATGCGCTGGGGTCTCCAGTGCTGGTGGGTGAGCAGGTGGAGGGGTTAGGCCGTCAGAGGACAGAGAGCTGAGACTTGGGACGGGGGACAGGGGACAGGAGGCCCCGCCATTCCAGCCGACAGGAGGGTCCTGCTTTCCTTCATCACAGGCCACTGGGCACCCAGGAGGCACCCCCGGGGCCCCCCACCTCACCCCATCCCACCCCCAGCCCTGGACGCCCACTTTCCCGAGTGGGGAGCGAGAAAACGGAATCATGCTGCCGCCCGACTGGGAAAGGCCTCAGACCGGATTCATTCGGGGTTTCCGGAGGGACCAGAGCTCCCAGCAGGGCCCCCCTTCCCACCCCACCCCACCCCACCCCGCCGGCGCCGCCACAGGAGCTTTTATGGTCACGTTCGCCCGGCGCCTGATGCCCCGCCCCCGGGCCCCGCTGGGCGGATCTGGGCGCGGAGGACGGTCCATGTCCATGCGGAGCGGCCCGGTCGGAGGGGCAGCGCCCGGAGGCGCCGCGGGTGGGGGCTCGGTGGCAGCGCTGGGACCCGCCCTGCCCTCCTCTGGGTGCGGGTCCTGCTCCCCAGGAAGTGCCTGTACCCCCACTTGCCCTCCCGCTCCCCCACCCCGGCAGTGGCAGGGAGGGGGCTGCGGCGGAGGCCAAGGCTCCCCGGGGAGCGCCGGAATGCCGGGAGCCTGGGAACAGGCCCTGGGAAAGCCAGGCTGCGGGGGTCCCGCCCCAGCCCGCTCCCTGGGATGGGCGGGGACACCAGACCCCCAGCTCCCCAACAGGGGCGCTGTGTGCTGGAGGCTCTGTCCGCGCCCCGCCCGGCTGGCGGGCGCAGTGGGCCAGCTGTGAGAAGACCCCTCCCCGCCCTGTGCCTCCCCACACAAGCCCCATTGTCCACCCCTCCCCTCGCTGCGCCCGGACAATGGGGCCTTTGCGCTGCCGAACTGGGGTGGAGATGAACTCACTCACGTTTTTTCCAAGTTTAAAAATAGCCCCCGCAGCCCCCCATCACCCTTCTCCTCTCCCAGAGTTTCTGGGGCACCTCAACCCAGGAGCCCCCTCCGGCCTGGCCAGGTGCGGAGGACACGGGGAGACAGCATCCGGCCAGAATGGGGGCTGCTTCCCCCCATTCAATCTCTTCCCCACGTCTCCCTCCAGCCCCCAGCATCCGCTTCCTGCCCCGTGATGTCCTCGACAAGCAGCCCTCCTTCTACTCCCTCAGCACTGGCTCCTCCCAACGCAGCCCCGTCCTGGAAATGTTCTCCTACCTCCTCCCAGCCCAGACGGGACCCTATTTTCGGCCGGCCCAGGGGGTTCCCCAGATTCCTTAACTGTGCAGATGGCCGGGCCACCCCTCCACCCCAGCTCCTTCTCCCTGCAGCTGCGAACGCGTCTTTATCAGCTTCCTTCCTTAGCCCAGCCTGTCCTCACACATCCTCCGGGAGGCCCCAGACCAGGGGCGGGTGGGAGGGCACTGTGCCCAGGATGCTGGAGCCCAGGCAGGGATCCTGGGGTCAAATCTCTGCCCAGCGAGGGGCGGGGGGGGGGGGGCACAGGCCCATCCTTATCCTTTTACCTCCAACGCCCCTGGGACTGGGCACCACTTCTGCTCACAATTAAGTGGAGGCCCCACCCACCTGGGGATTTTAGCTGCAGGCCCAGCCCCCCACCCAGCACCCCACCCAGCCCCAGTCACAGCCAAAGAGACGCAGCTTGGACCTTCCACACACCGGGTGCTCTCATCTCTGAGTAGTCTGGGTCGGCCATGGGGTGCAGGAGTGTTAGGGGCAGAAATAGAATATTGGGGACTAGTATTAGTTATAAGAAATAAAATAAGAACTATCAGTCCTGCCCTGTTAGCCTGACGGTTCTGTTCTGGTTAGAAAGCGCTTCTCACCTGGCTGGGAGCCGCAGGCCCTGGGACCTGGCGCTCACATCCTAACGGGCCCATCCTCCTTCAGGGCCGCCTGTCATTGTGGAGAGATTGACACCCTTGGGGCTGAGACAATCCGGTCCTGGAGGCACCTGCTCCTTACAACCCCAGCCGCTATGGCCTGGGGTCTGGGCCCGGGGCGCCCGCCCTCTGCGACCCCCCAGACCCCATGATGATTACCCGTGCCCACTTCCCCTGCCTGTAATTCCTATTTCCCCGCGCCATCTCTGTCCTTCTGCCCAATACAGCAGAGGCCTGGGGGGGGGGGGGAGGAGCAGCTTTCTGTGGGTGACCTGCTGCTCCCACGCTGCCCGCAGGATTGGAACGCACCCTCATAGGATTCACCCCTTTGCTGAATTGGCTCGTGTGACAGGCAGCTGGACCCCTGGCTGTCCGGGTGCAGGGCAGCAGCCTTCCCCCCCCTTCCTGCTGCGGGGAAACCAAGCCAGTCAGGGCTCTGGCCAGGGGCGCCTTCCTCTGACCTCGGCCTGTATCTGAGCAAGCCGGCTTCCAACTCCGCCCAGGCGAGGCTCGGCCTGCCTCCCGGGTCCTGCTGGTCCTGCTGCGGGGTCTCCATCCTCCTGCTGCAGGTTCTCCCTCGGCCCCTCTCTCTGTCCTGCGGCTGCTGAACCCCCTCTCCTGGCAACCGAGAGGGCCCAGGGAGCTGACCCCCAGCACCTTCGGCTCCATCTGTCCTGCTCTGTCCTCACTCCCTTTTCTTCTGTTCCCAGTCCCCTTGGAATCCCCGCCAAGGTCTTGCCTGCTCAGTCTGGAATCCTGAAGTGCCCCCTCCTAAAGCCACCCCACAGCTGTCTGCCCCTGGCCACTCTGCCCACCCCGCTGCCACCGCGCGGGGAAGGCCAGCCTGCGGGATGGGGCTGCGGGGAGGGGCTCTGCCTGCATTCCCCTCACTGCAGAGGCAGCGCCTCTCACCCCACTGGCTTCACCCTCCTCCAGGCGGAAGGACTCCCGCCCTGACTGTCCTTGGTGGTTGGTGGGCATTGCTTTCAGCCCCAGAGAGCAGGAGGAGGAGTTAATGGTGTTAAGTGAGGGGGAGGGGGTGGGGCAGGGGAGCGGAGCTGCATGCCCGGCTCAGGGCTGGTCAGGGCGGCCAGCATCCTCCAGCCATTCCCACTCCTGCCCCTGCAGACCAGCAAGCTCATCCGCTCCCCTCCAGGCCCTGGGCTAGACCATATACTCGCTCTGGGGGATGGGGAGACAGGGACCTCCTCCTCTACCCGCCCCCCCTCGCCCCCCCCCCCCCCAGGCCTGGGTCTGGCCACTGCATGGCCCCCGCTGGAGACTGATGGGAGCTGATGTGGTTTGTTAGTCATCCCTGCGTCATCAAAGCACCATCCCAGGGCTGGCTCTCCAGTCACCTGCCCATCGCCCTGCTCCTCCCCCAAAGGGTGCAGGCTGCCCGGCCAGGCCCTCTCTGACCCTCCAGGCTGAAGGAGCCCCCGGGGCCAGGGGGAGGGGTCTCTCTGAGGCAGGAGCCCGGCCCACTCCCCAGAGCCTCCGTTCCAGAGGCCAGGAGAGCAGGTTTGGGAAGAGGGGGCTGCGCTGTGTGGCGGACCTGATGCCTCCTCCACACCCACCCCGGCTGCTAAGCCGCACTCCACCGGGGGGGGGGGGGGGGGGGGCGGAGCCCGCTGCAGGGCCCTTTCCACTGTCAGGACTCACAACAGGTCTGGGGTCAAACTGGAGACCTGGTATCCGTGGCCCCGTCCCTCCCCTCCCCTCTCCTCATTCAGGCGGGGACACTGCGTGCCGGCGAGGCCCTCCGTGAGCAAAGGGGCAGAGACAATTCTCCAGGACGGACTTGGGGAGCTGGTTCACGGCGCAGCCAGCGAGGCGCCTCCGCTCCCGCACGGCACCTCTGGGTCTGCGGGTCCGCCTGGCGTCCTTCCCTGAAGATGCCCGGACCGGGCGTGGGGGCAGCCCAGGCAGGCGCAGCCTCCACGGTGCGGGGGCTCTGGGCCGCGCCCGTGGCCCGCTGGTCTCTCGTGGCCGTGGCCGTGGCCGAGGCCTGGTGGGGGAGGCGGAGGCAGAGAGGGAGCCTGAGGGGAGGCCCCGGCAGCGGCTCCTCCGCCAGGAGGCCTCCAGGGCTGCGCCGGCTGGTCGGGGCTGAGCGGAAAGGGAGCGCGGTGGGCTCTGACCGCGGGGGCGCTGGCCTTTCGGCAGCTTCTCCTGGCCGCCGCCTCAGGAGTCCGTCCGCCTGGGACACCTGTCCCTCCCGCTCCCCTCCAGCGCGGGCGGCCCACTCCCCTAGCCCCGCAGAGCTGCGGGGTGCGCGTCCCGGCCCCCACCCCAGGGTGCCGGGCAGGGACGGGGCGGGGCGGGGCGGGGGGCTTCGGGGCGGGGCTGCCGGGAGCTTAGGCCCCACCCCTCCCCTGACCACCCCTTCTCCTCCCGGGCCCCACCTCCCCACTCCTTCCCCACCTCCCCTGTTCTCTCCTGCGGTCCCCTCCCTTCCCTGCTCCTCTCCCCTGCCCCCTCCCCTGCCCTCTTCTTCCCCTCCCTGCCCCCTCCCCTGCCTCTCCCCCCTCCACTCCCCTCCCTCCCCTCCTCGTCCTCCCCTGACGTCAGCGCGGGCGGGCGGGCGGGCGCGCGCGGACCTCCTCACTCGGCGCTGGCGCTCCGCGGGGAAGCATGCGGCTGCCCCGGCTCCTCTGCGCCTTCCTGCTGGCCGCCTGCTGCCGCCGCGCCGCGGGTGAGTAGGGGCGCTGGGGCCCGCACCCCAACGGCCGGAGCTCCGCCCGGCGTGCGCCCTCCTTCCCGGGCCCCCGCGCCGCTCTCAGCCCGTTTGCAGCCGCGATCCGAGTCCGGGAGCGAGTGGGGGGCGGGGAAGGGGGGAGCCGAGCCTCTGGGGGCGCGGGGGCGGGGACTCTGGGGGCGCGGGGGCGGGGACTCTGGGGGCGCGGGGGGACTTCCCTCGGGTGCTCTGCTCCCGGCCGCGATCGGAGCGATGGCAGGCGCCCGGCCAGAGCGCCCTCCGGGCACCGAGGGTCCCGCGGCTCCGCCGCCAAAGGAAAAGGCAGTTTCTCAGCTGGGGGTGCGCGGCCCCTCCCTCCCCGCCGGGCTGGGCGTGGGCAGGGGCTGGGGGGGTCTCCGCACCTCCACCCGGGGAACGGAAAACAGGTGGCAGAGATGAGGGTTTCCAGAGTGGAAGCGCCCAAACTTGTTCCACCTCCGGGACTGGGGCCGCCCTCGGTGGGACAGCGCCGGGCACCGACTCGCTCGGCCCCGTCCGCGCAGCGCTTGGGCACCGTCTCACCGGGTCCCTGTCCCTGTCGCAGCCGCCGTCCGGCTGGGGAGGGGTGGGCCGGGCAGTGCCAGCTCGCTGGCCTTGTGCCCGGTGCCGACAGCCTCCCGAGCGGACTGCATTTCTGGGGAAAAGGCTCAATCCGGCTCTGCAGCCTCCGCAGGTCCAGACGCCCTGTCCTGCTCTCCTAGACCTTCTCCCGGGTGTGGGCCGTGGGTCGGGTGGAGGTTTCTGCTGGGGGCTGAGGGCCACTCCGTCTGTCCTTGTCTGGGAGCCAGACCAGGGCCACAACGCGGAGTCCAGGAGATGGGGCCCCGAGTCCAGGCGGGTGGGACCCCCAAGTCCAGAAGGTGGGGTCTCCGAGTCCAGGAGGTGGGGTCCCCGAGACCAGGCGGATGGGACCCCCAAGTCCAGGCGGATGGGATCCAGTGACATCACCTCCGAATGGAGCCGGCAGCAGGCTGGCAGCACTGGCGTCACCCCTGTCCACTGCCAGGCCGTGTCTTGACCCCTGCGAGAGACTCTGACCCCTCGATACTTACAAGATTCCCAGAATGGGCCCCTGAGTGTGTGGGATGTTCATGGAGGTGCTGCTGAAAGGGGAGCTTCTGACCAGGATTGGACCAGTGGGTCTTGTGAGGGGCTTGTGAGGGGCTTGGGGGGGGGGGGGCCAAAGGGGAGAGGAGTGGTCTTCTCCTGGGTGTGGGGACACAAAGGGGCCTGTGTGCCCCAGCCTGGCACATGCCCTGCATTCCCACCCTCTGAGCTCACTCGGGGGAGGGGCCTAGAAGGAAAGGGGCCTTCTCTTGGCCTGGAGCCCAGTCGCCCCTCTGCCAGCCTCGTCTGGGAGGTGCCTGGCGCTCTGGGTCTCTTGTCCAATGACCAGAGATGACCATCCTACTCCCTTGAACTGGGAGAGGGCTGGCCCAAGGCGAAGGGAAGAGAGTGGTCGAGGCTTAGGAGAGGACTGGGCCCTCTTCAGACCCTCAAAGTGGCCGGAAGAACAGCTGCAGGAGCAGGGTGGGAGGAGGGATGGGGAGCAGCTGGAGCCGAAGCAGCTGCTGGGTGTCCTCTCGCCCCAGGTGTGCTTGGAGAGGCCGAGCCGCCGGAGCCCGAGCTGGTGGAGGTGGAAGTGGGCAGCACAGCCCTCCTGCAGTGCGGCCCCTCCCGTTCCCAGGACAACCTCAGCAACGTGGACTGGTTTTCCGTGAGTGCCAAGGGTCCAGAGGGCAGCAGCGGGGGGCTGTCCCCTCCTGTGGCCCAGGACCCCACCTCCCCTGCGCCTCCCCTTAGGTTCACAAGGAGAAGCCCACACTCATCTTCCGCGTGCGCCATGGCCTTGGTCAGAGTGAGCCCGGGGAGTACCAGCACCGGCTCAGCCTTCAGGATGCGGGGTCTACTCTGGCCCTGACCCATGTCACCCCTCACGATGAGCGTGTCTTCCTGTGCCAGGGCAAGCGCCCTCCGTCCCAGGAGCACCGCCTCCAGCTCCGCGTCTACAGTGAGCTCCTGGTGGACTGTGTGGTCAGATGGAGTGGGCGGGGCGGCTGGAGTGGGCAGTGCCGGTGGGCGGGGCGAGTAGGATGGAGTGGGCGGGGCGAGTAGGATGGAGTGGGCGGGGCGGGGCGGCTGGAGTGGGCAGTGCCGGTCAGATGGAGTGGGCGGGGCGAGTAGGATGGAGTGGGCGGGGCGGGGCGGCTGGAGTGGCCTTGCGGGTGGGACCGAGCGCTGCTCCAGGCCCCTCCCTGTCTCTCTCCCGCCCAGAAGCTCCAGAGGAGCCGAGCATCCAGGCCAATGCCTTGGGCATTTCGGTGAACAGCAGGGAGCCTGAGGAGGTGAGGTGCCCAGGTGGCCAGGTGGGAGGAGGAGCGGAGGTGGGGTTTGGTGAAGCTAGGTCTCCGGGGGGGACTCGCCCTGTCCTTCTTAGGTTGCAACCTGTGTGGGGAGGAATGGGTACCCCGTCCCTCAAGTCATCTGGTACAAGGACGGCCGGCCTCTGAAGGAGCAGAAGAACCGTAAGTAGCCCTCTCAGCCTCTGAAAACCACCTTACATTTTACTTTTATTTTTTTAAAAGTGCACAATGATACTTGAAAATATTTTCATAAGATTTTAAACTTTTTTTGTTGTTGTTAATCCTCACCTGAGGATATTTTTTCTTATTGATTTTTAGAGAGAGTGGGGGGAGGGTGAGAGAGAGATCGGTGTGAGAGAGACACATCAATTGGTTGCCTCCCGCATGCTCCCCCCTTCCCCCAACCCGGCTGGGAATCAAGCCTGCGACCGAGGTCGGAGGCACGTGCCTTTGACAGAGAATCTGACTGAGACTGAACCCTTCAGTCCAGCGGGCCAGTGCTCTAACCATTGGCCCGGCCAGGGCTGTTTTCATACCCCGTCCCAACGGCACCGCTTGGCTTTCCCTCGGACGGCAGCTGGGAAGCCCTTGAGTTCAGTCTGCAGCGCTCCGTGGTTGCTGCTTCTCCCTTTCGTCCCTGCAGCACTTGGCACACATGGTCTTGGGGAGGGCGTCTGGGGGTGGAGGGGTGCAGCTGGCCCCTTCGGGTACAGGGAGGGCCTCAGGTCTCCCTGCTGACTCCCGGGAGGCCAGGGGGTGGAGGCGGAGCCGCGGCGAGCCCCTCCCGCCCGCAGGAGTGCACATCCAGTCGTCCCAGACCGCGGAGTCCAGCGGCCTGTACACCCTGCGGAGCGTCCTGAAGGCCCAGCTGCGCAAGGAGGACCGCGACGCGCGCTTCTACTGCGAGCTCAGCTACCGGCTGCCCAGCGGGAGCCACATGAAGGAGTCGCGGGAGGTCACGGTCCCGGTCTTCTGTGAGAGCCGCGGGGACGGGGTGCTCCCCCACCGGCGGGCGGGGCGGGGCGGGGGGGCACCGGCTGAGGGCGCCCCTTGCTCGCAGACCCGGCGGAGAGGGTGTGGCTGGAGGTGGCGCCCGCGGGGCCGCTGAAGGAAGGGGACCGCGTGGAGATCCGGTGTCTGGCGGACGGCAACCCCCCGCCGCACTTCAGCCTCAGCAAGCAGGTGCGGGGCGGGGCGCGGGCGGGGCGGGCGGGGCGGGCGGGGCGCGGGCGGGCGGGAGGCCGGCGCCCTCTGCTCACCCCGCTCCGCCCAGGACCCCCGCACCCGGGAGACGGTGGAGGAGACGACCGACGACGACGGAGTGCTGGTCCTGGCCCCGGCGCGCAGGGAGCACAGCGGGCGCTACCAGTGCCAGGGCCTGGACCTGGAGAGCACGGCCTCGCTGCTGAGCGCGCAGCAGGAGCTGCGGGTGGACTGTGAGCGGGGCCGGGCTGCCGGGCGGCCGGGCGGCCGGGCGGGCGGGCGGCCGGGGACCCTCTGCCCCGCGCTGGCCGACGCGACTGCTGTGTCCCCAGATGTGTCTGATGTCCGGGTGCGCCCCGCGGCCCCTGAAGGCCACGAGGGCAGCAACCTCACGCTGACCTGCGAGGCGGAGAGCAGCCGAGCCCTGGAGTTCCAGTGGCTGAGAGAAAAGGTGCGGGGCCGGGGGCGGGGCGGGGCCGGGGCCGGGGCGGGGCCGGGGCCGGGGCGGGCCGGTGGGGCAGGGGCGGGCCGGTGGGGGCAGGGGCGGGGCGGGGGCGGGGAGCGGGAGTGGGGGCGGGGTGGGGGCAGGGCGGGGCTGGGGGCGGGGCCGCTGGGGGCTGGGGGCGGGGCCGCTGGGGGCCGGGGCGGGCCGGTGGGGGCAGGGGCGGGCCGGTGGGGGCAGGGGCGGGGGACAGGGGGCGGGGGGGCGGGGCCGGGAGCGGGGCGGGGCCGGGGCCGGGGCGGGCCGGTGGGGGCGGGAGCGGGGAGCGGGAGTGGGGCCGGGGTGGGGGCAGGGCGGGGCTGGGGGCGGGGCCGCTGGGGGCTGGGGGCGGGGCCGCTGGGGGCTGGGGGCGGGGCCGCTGGGGGCCGGGGCGGGCCGGTGGGGGCAGGGGCGGGGGACAGGGGGCGGGGGGGCGGGGCCGGGAGCGGGGCGGGGCCGGGGCCGGGGCGGGCCGGTGGGGGCGGGAGCGGGGAGCGGGAGTGGGGCCGGGGTGGGGGCAGGGCGGGGCTGGGGGCGGGGCCGCTGGGGGCTGGGGGCGGGGCCGCTGGGGGCCGGGGCGGGCCGGTGGGGGCAGGGGCGGGCCGGTGGGGGCAGGGGCGGGGGACAGGGGGCGGGGGGGCGGGGCCGGGAGCGGGGCGGGGCCGGGGCCGGGGCGGGCCGGTGGGGGCGGGAGCGGGGAGCGGGAGTGGGGCCGGGGTGGGGGCAGGGCGGGGCTGGGGGCGGGGCCGCTGGGGGCTGGGGACGGGGCCGCTGGGGGCTGGGGGCGGGGCCGCTGGGGGCCGGGGCGGGCCGGTGGGGGCGGGAGCGGGGAGCGGGAGTGGGGCCGGGGTGGGGGCAGGGCGGGGCTGGGGGCGGGGCCGCTGGGGGCTGGGGACGGGGCCGCTGGGGGCTGGGGGCGGGGCCGCTGGGGGCCGGGGCGGGCCGGTGGGGGCGGGAGCGGGGAGCGGGAGTGGGGCCGGGGTGGGGGCAGGGCGGGGCAGGGGGCGGGGCCGGGGCGGGGCCGGGACGGGAGCGGCCTCTGACCCGCCCTCTCCGCAGACAGGCCAGGTGCTGACGCGGGGGCCGGTGCTGGAGCTGCAGGACCTGGACCGGGAGGCGGGGGGCGGCTACCGCTGCGTGGCCTCGGCGCCCCGCGTGCCCGGCCTCAACGCCACGTGGCTGGTCAACGTGGCGGTTTTCGGTGAGGCCCCTGAGCGGAGGTCGGGCGGGAAGCTGCCCCACGTGGGTGTCGCCAGCTCTTGGAGGACAGAAGCCTCCCCTGCCCCGCAGGCCCCCCGTGGATGGCGCAGAAGGAGAGGAAGGTGCGGGTGCGGGAGAACGCGCTGCTGAACCTGACCTGTGAGGCATCCGGGCACCCGCGGCCCGCCATCTCCTGGAGCGTGGGCGGCAGGGTGAGCAGCCCCTCCCCGGGCTCTGGCCGGGCCAGCTGCCCGCTGCCCGCTGCCCCCCTCCCTCCTGAGCCGCCCGCCGCTCCTTCCTCCCAGGCCAGCGAACACGACCAGGACCCACAGCGCGTCCTGAGCCTCCTGAGTGTCCGCGTGACCCCGCAGCTGGTGGAGACGGGCGCTGAGTGCGTGGCCGCCAACGCCCTGGGCAGGAACAGCACCCGCATCCTCCTGGAGCTGGGTGAGGCCTGCCCCGCGGAGCGGCCCCGGCGGGCCTGGGCACCTGCCTTTGCCAACCTCCATCCGTCCCTCTCGGTCTCCCACAGCCTCCAACACCAGCACTGGGCTCAGCACCGCCACCGTCGGGCCTCACGCCGGAGCCAACGGCACCTCCACGGGTGAGCTGGGCCGGCGAGAGCAGAGCCGGCCGGCCGGGGCACCCGCATCCTGCCCCGACTGCCCCCGGGAAGCCCGCCTCCCACCAGCCGGGTTGGGTGGGCAGCGAGGGGAACATGGCAGCCGGGGCAGGGGTGACCGAGTGTCTTCGTGGGACAGAGAAAAAGCTGCGCGAGCCCCAGAGCAAGGGCGTGGTCATCGTGGCCGTGACCGTGAGCCTGCTGGTCCTGGCGCTGCTGGGCGCCGTCCTCTGCTTCTTCTACAAGAAGGGCAAGCTGCCCTGTGGGCGGTCGGGCAAACAGGAGATGTGAGCACGTCCCAGCCCCTGCCCCATCCATCGCCTGTCGCACAGCTCGCCGCTTCCCCGGGGTGTCCCCTGCTGACCTGTGTCCGCTCACCCCTAGGAGCAGGAGGGGACGCTGGGTCTGGGTGCTAGTCGCTTCACTGCCACGGCCACGCTCCATCCATCACGCTCTCCCTTCCCTTCATGACCTGCCTCCCTCCCCTAGGCCGGCCCCAGAGCACCATGTCCCACGGTTGTCCCCGGAGACGAAGCCCTTCCCCAGAGCCCCGCCCTTCCCTCGCCCCCTGAGTTGCCAACCTCTCGCCTCCCTTCCTCCCCCCAGAACGCTGCCCCCATCTCATAAAAGCACATTTGTAGTTGAAGTTAAGTCAGATAAGCTCCCCGAAGAGATGGGCCTCCTACAGGGCAGCCGCGCTGACCAGAGGGCGCCTGGAGACCAGGTAGGAGCGGCTGCTGCAGCCAGGGCCTGACCAGCGCCAGGACTGGCGCGCAGGGCTCACGGTCCTCGCCCCCCACACTAACTCTGTCCTCCGTCCTGCTGCTGGAGGCCGGCGCAGGCCGAATCCCGCCTCCTAACACTACTCACAGGTGGTAGGGCCAGGCCAGTGGCTGAGGGACCTGAACAGGGTGGCTCCCGGCTCTGAGAGCAGAGACCCCTCCCATCGCCGGCACCGTTTCCAAAAGAGCTTGTGGCTCAGGCTGAGCGGTGTGACCTGCGTGGGGCCCACCTGACCTGGGGGCTGAGACCCTCCTGCCCGCCCTGCTGCTGCTGCACCACCGGGCTCCTCAGCTGCTGCTTCGGTGCCTCCTCCCTGCTGGTGCTCACCCCCTGCCCATCTCCGTCTCCACGCTCTCCTCTCCTTCCCCTTTGCAGGGGGAGAGATACATCGATTTGAGGCACTAGCGCGGAGGTGGACGCCTTCCTGCCCACGCGCCCTGCTCGCCGCCCGCACTCAGGACGGTCACCAAAGCCTGCCCCCGCCGCCCCCCCCACCCCCTTTGCAGGGCCAGTGGACTGGCCGGGACCAGGGCGCAGGGACCACACTGTCCATGTGTGGAGGGCGCTCACCCCGGCGGCCTCGGTCCAGGAGAGAGGCCAGTTCTGCCCGACATCTCTGCTCAGTTATGGACCAAGGCCCCGCCTTCTGCCCACAGCATGGAGTCAGGGGCCTGTTTGTCTCAGGGGACTTCCTGCCCCAGTTGCCTTCCCAGTTCTGCTGTGTGGCTGCAGTTGCCCGCCGGCTAGGTCCCTTTTGTGACCCCCTTCCCTGGGTGGAGCCAGGAGCTGGTGCCATGCCTTCAGATGGGCGCTCCTTGTCCCAGCCCTGAGGGAGCCCCTGCTTCCTAGTCAGGCCCTGAGCTGCTCACTCGGCTCCGGGATCATGACTGGAGGGTGAGCGCAGGGGACAGAGGGGGGGGGTCCCTGCGGCCCTTTAAGGGGATTAAGATGACAGTGGCCCTAGCACCAAACTCCTATGAGCTGAGCTGACGGCCTCGACCCCTTTAGGAAGGGCCTCAAAGGGAGGCTGGGAAATGGGCCAGAGCTTGGGGTATAATGTGTATGTGTGTGTGTGTGGTTTTGTTAGGTTGTGTGTAAATTTGCAAATTGTTTCCTTTACACACACACACACACACACACACACACACACAAATAAAGCTTAGTTGTCCGGGAAACCTTACGTGTTTCATTCACCGTGGGAACCACAGTGCCTGGGCTCCAAATGGACCGGCACCAGGAGGAACCCGCCCCGAGGCCGGCAGCAGGCAGGCGGCTCCAGCCCCCAGGCTGACCCCTGCTCAGGGGCAGGGCCAAGAGCCTGTGGGTCCCGTGGCCTTGCCGGGAGGGGCAGCGCAGACCTGCGGAGGCACATGGGCTCAGCTCCCCCACGTGTCAACCCTCCATCCCCACCAGAGACAAGCACTCAGGTCAACTACAACAAAAGAAACTTTATTTAAAAATACTTTACAGATGTAGGTGCTTGAAAAAGCTCTTTAGTTAACTGTATATAAATGAAAAAATTAATAAATAACATTAGTATAACAGACCTGAACATGAACATACTGGCAAAACAAATGGACTTAAAATAGAAACAAATCTTAAAGCTCTGCTATTCTCTGTAGGAATATTTACCTTCTGTTTTTCTTATTCTTTACAAGTGAGAAGGATTAAATACTACGAATATAAAGTTTCTTATATTAATGACACTTTTAAAATAGCCAACACAGATCTTGCCGACGCTGTCGGTTTAACCCCACGCGGATGCAGAGCCCGCTCTCCCTCCTGGAGCTCAGCACCCGGCCCACCCAGGCCGGAGGCTCAGTCACAAATGAGGAGCCTGGAGCTGCTTCCACCTCCACCTTCTTTGGAGTGAAAGGCAGGAAGCACGGAGGAGGGGAGAGAACAGTTCTTCCCTCCCCCTGAAACCTAGCGGTCACAGCTCTGAGGACAGGCTGCGGTCACAGCTCTGCTGCCTCTTCCAGGGGAAGCTGATCCCCAGAGAGGCACTCGCTGCTACTGCTCTGAGTCTGAGGGCTCCGACTGGGGTGGGGGAAGGGGGGGCAGGAGGTCGAGGCAGGTCAGGATCCACCAAAGGTTAAGAGAAGCCACCCTCCAGGAGAGGCCGGACCCGGCTGCCTCTGCCCAGAGCACATGGAGGCTGAGCTGATGGAACCAGCCTCCCACCCACGGTGCGGCGGGAGAGGGACCCGGCGCCCTGCCCTCCCCGGGACTGTGGGGCTGGGACACTCAGAGCAGAACAAAGACGCTGCTATGTCCATATTAAGCTCTAAAATGCAGCCTAGGATACAGCGCTGCCTTAGAAAGGCACAAAATGTTTAGCTTTTTTTTTTTCAGTGTGCTAAAAATTGCTTTGTTTTAAATAAAGGAAAAGATATATAAGGTTAAAAACCCTAAATCACCCAGCCAGGAAGCAGGCGTAGGAGGTACTTCATAGTTGCCATGGCCCAGCCACATGCTCAGCAGGTCACGGCCAAGACACTGAACGATACTGAGAGCAGGTGTGTGTGTGTGTGTGGGGGGGGGGGGGGGGACGGGCGGAACCCCTCGGGCCTTCTCACCCCACCGGCAAAGGAGGCCCCAGCAGAGAGCATGTGGGCTGCTGACCCACAAGCAGCTCTGCCCCTTCAGCTTCCAGAGGTGAGGGTGACTCCCCTCTAAACCACAGGGTCAGAGGTGAGGAGCGGCCCACAGTGGGTGCTGAGCAGCCTCCGGCCCCCAGCTGGTTCCGGCAGGAGGGCCTCTCATAGTGATTGTTGGTTCTGTATCAACAGTCAGGCCGGGCAATCAGAACTCTGCCAATCTGTTCAGCTGCTGAGCCAGTAGATGTGAGGATGGAGAGACAAACAGGCAGAGGAGGAACATCTGTCTCAGGCACCGGACAAGGGCAGCCCTTCCACTTGACCGAGCCCCATGCAGCACCGCACACCCCACTCCCACCTTACTCCTGTGCTGTCGCCCAGAACCAGGACACATGCAGTCACCCCAGTGAAACCGCCTTCCTGGGCCGGTGAGGGTGCTGCCCCCTCCCAGGCTGGAGCTCAGGGGGGCCTGACAGCCGGCCCTCCCGGGGCCTCAGAGCTCATCTTGGGCCATTAGGTTCCTTTTGCAGACACCTAGCGGCTCCAATGGTGTGACTGCGAAAGGCTAAGACACAGGACAGGCTCTAGGACGAGAGGAATAAGGTCAAAGACTCAGGCAAGTGCAAGCAGCTTGTGAAACCGACCACGTGAGGGCTCCCATCAGCCTCTGCTGCAGCAGCTGGTGGACAGCGGGCGGCCCTGTGGAGCTCCCAGTGCCTCCGTCTTCCCTGGACTCTGATGTAACGACCTGACAGCTCCCACACGGCTGCAGAGGGTTTCGGAGGCCCGGGAGGCCCAGCCCACCACATTCCCCAGGAGGGACCCTGAGGGCAAGGAGGAGGGTGGCAGGGACACGGCTGCAGGAGGAACCCATTTCAGTGCTGAGCCCGGAAGCCCGCGGTGACCGCAGCGAGATCTGACACACACTCTGAACAACGTGAAGGAGGCTGAGCATCCTGAGACTGCGCCAGACAGACCAGCTCCGAGACAGGAGGAACGCGACCTAACGAGGGAGGCAAGAAACCCTGAACCCAAGACCACAAAGGGAAGGAAAACAGAAAATGGACAGACAGCAACCTGCATGCGTTAACCTAGGAACCTCCTGCGGGCCCAGGCACAGCCCACAGCCGCCTCCTCTCTGGGAAGCAGTGTGAGAGCAGCTCTCCACCTGCACCCCTCGGGGAACTCCCTGTCCTGAGGGAGCGCTGCGGCCGGGGGGCGAGGCGGACGGGCTGGGGTGGACACCCATCAAGATGCTGGGAGCATTTTCTTTCTTGAGACTATGAACCGAGAGGCACTGGAACCTGTCCACCAGGCTCTCGGGCTGGGAGGCCACGTGGGCGGAGCACGGAGCGTCTATGGGGCCCATCACCCAATAAGCAGACTGCCAGGCAGGACAAAGGCCGAGGTGCACACGGCCCAGCTCCAGCTCTAGGCAGGGGTCAGCTGGACTCCTTCCCCGGCTCTGGGAAGCACCCCGCATCCTTGAACTCCCTCCTGCCTTCACCCCGACTCCTGTGATTCCCAAGCAGGATCGTCAGAGATGCACCCCCCACCCCCGCCCGCCATGTGTGGTTCTAAAGACCCCGCTCCAGTGCACAGAGGCCAGGCTGACCCAGAGCGCCCAGAGGGAAGGCCGGGGAGGAAGCCCTGGTGGTGGTGCTAAGTTCCAGGACTCTGAGTGCCCGGCTCCCTCCCGCTTAGCTCCCTCCCTCAAGACACAGGCTGACACCTTTGAGAACTGAGTTCAGTCCATTCCCCTGCGGCTCCAGGGAGACCACACACCTGGGGCAGGTCAGGACCCAGACACACCCTCCCCTCCCATGTCTCCGTCGGTCGGTCCGCTAGGGGTAGTTAGCTGCAAAGACTGTGAGGGATTAAAAACAAGTTCCAAACAGAATGGGAGACGGTGACGGGCCCAGAAGGCTGACAAGGAAACTTCCCCACGAGGAGGAAGACCAGGCAGGCCCGGGGCTGGAAAGGAGCGGCGGGCGCGCTGCACACTCGCCTGTCGTGCGCTCCGAGCCAACACGCCTCCACCCACCAGGCTCCGCCTCCAGGACACTCACAGGGGGTCCATGACTCCCACTGGGGACCCTCCCAGACAGGACCGTGGCTCGGGAGACAATGGGGAGCAACGGAGAGTCCTGAACGGTCTGAGCCAGGGCAGCTCTGGGGGGTATACGAAGGCCGTGAGTGCACACCGCACTGCGTCCTGGGAAGGGCTATTTTAGGGCCAAATGCAAGCGGTGAGGAGCCCGAGGACCACCCCCATCAGTGCCTCACCACGCGGTGGCAGGAGAACACAGGCTGGCACCTGGCATGGGGCACTCACGGCTGCTGAGCGGACACGAGCAGCCAGGGCGCTGGTTGGAAAACGTATCCCTGGGCAACAGGGGGCAAGCCTGGAACCCCGGCTGTCCACATGTGAGGTAGGAGGCTACACACACCCAGCGCTCCCCCACAGGGAGGGGCACCGGGTCCTATGTGAGCCTTGTCAAGAGAATATAGCAGGCGGGAGAGAGGTCCCAGGGAGAGGAAGAGCTTGGTGACCGTGTGTGGCGCTGGCCGCTCACCGATTCATGAGCTGACTGTGGGTCGCCCAGATACGCTGGAAGCAATCACTGGGAAGGAAAACTGAACAAATAGATCCCAACTGCCTGTTTTGTGCATTTTATGGACAACGACCGGCCATGGGGCATACAAAACACCTCAAACTTTTTATGAGAGAATGTTATAATGTCAATGACACCTCAGTAAAAAGGAAGGGAAGGCCTAGATCTTGTTAACAGTGCCGTGAAGGGAACATACAGCTGGGTCCCTACTTTGCAAGCAAATTTACAAAAATTCATTTGTAAGTTTGCTGTTTGGACCATAAAATATCTCACTTTTCTATAGAAGAAATAAATACTTCAAGTATGAAGAATAGCACGCCCCCCCCCCCCCCCCCCGCAAATGTTATCCACAAACCAGACAATGCACCTGTCCCTGTGCTGAACGTCTGTGCAAGGAGACAGGGAAGCAGGGCCGGGGGAGAGGGCGGGTGGGGGGAGAGAGGGCTGAGGGGAGGGCGGGTGGGGGAGAGAGGGCAAGGGGGAGGGCGGGTGGGTGGAGAGAGGGCTGAGGGGGAGGGCGGGTGGGGGAGAGAGGGCTGAGGGGGAGGGCGGGTGGGGGAGAGAGGGCAAGGGGGAGGGCGGGTGGGGAGAGAGAGGGCTGAGGGGGAGGGCGGGTGGGGGAGAGAGGGCTGAGGGGGAGGGCGGGTGGGGGAGAGAAGGTGGGAGAGAGAGCAGGAGGGAGAGAAGGTGGGAGAGAGAGCAGGAGGGAGAGAGGGCTGAGGGGGAGGGCGGGTGGGGGAGAGAGGGCTGAGGGGGGAGGGCGGGTGGGGGGAGAGAGGGGGAGGGGGAGGGCGGGTGGGGGGAGAGAGGGGGAGGGGGAGGGCGGGTGGGGGGAGAGAGGGCGAGGGGGAGGGCGGGTGGGGGAGAGAGGGCTGAGGGGGAGGGCGGGTGGGGGGGGAGAGGGGGAGGGGGAGGGCGGGTGGGGGGAGAGGGGGAGGGGGAGGGCGGGTGGGGGGAGAGAGGGCGAGGGGGAGGGCGGGTGGGGGGAGAGAAGGTGGGAGAGAGGGCAGGAGGGAGAGAGGTCCGAGGGAGAGGCTGGGAGAGTGGCCGTCCGCTAGTTACAGAAAGAACACAGATACAGGCCCAGAACACAGCTGCCCAGTCTGTTACTTACCTACAGGGAGGAACATCCACGGCCGTTTCTCCCACTTGGGGAGCGTCGGCGAGAGATGGCGGGCAGATGGCCGCAAGCACCACAAAGCAGCCGCTGGCTAAGGTGGCAGGTGGGCTACAAAAAGCAAGCCGGGGCCTGCCGGGGCTCAGTGGGTCAGTGTCGTCCTGCACACCAATCAGGTGCAGGTTCGATCCATGGTCGGGGTGCATACGGGAGGCAACCAGTCTTTTCTCTCTCCCTCTCCCTTCCTTTCTCTCTAAAAATAAATACAACCTTATCTGAGGGGGAGGATACATTAAAAAAATAAAAATAAAAAGCAGCCCAGGAAGCAGGAGGTGGGTAAACAGAAGAGCCCCATGCAGGTCAGGAAAGGGACCAGGAGGCGCAGTGCCCTGGGCCACCTGGTAGAGAGGACTCGCCCGTGACAGGGGGAAGAGAGGAGTTTGCGGACACGCAGACTCCAAATGAAGCGGCCGTGAAGGGGGATTGTAGCTGGACCCCCGGCAGAGCCAAAGAACTCAAACCTGCCACACAAACCTCGGTTGAGGAAGGAGTGACGAGGGCCTCAGCAGATGCGAGGGCTTCCCGCGTGGCACAGAGCCACGGGAGCCTCCAGGAGACCCTGGCAGGGCGCTCTGAACCCTGGAGGCGCAGACACAGCGCACAGCCACCAACCACCGGCCGTGGGACCTGCCCCGCACCAGGCCCGCAGGCCAGGCAGGAGGCCCGGGGCCGCACCAGTGCCCCCGGGAGGAGCCGGGCTGTCCTTCGCCCCCAGGAGGGCGGCAGCTCTGAAGGGAACGGGCCGGCAGCGCCGCAGCCCAGGACGTGCAGGAGAGGCTGGGCCTGAGCCACGTGCTCCACCATCGCAGCCAAGCACACGTCGGTGTCGCCACAATGAGAGCCTGTCCTGGCGCTGGCAGGCGGCGCCGTCCGTCCCTACCGCTGCCGCGTCCCCGTCCTCGCCCCACTGAGGACCCAAAGGGGGCGAGCTGAGTGCCCGGCGGAGGCGGCCCTGGGAACAGGCGCGGCTCCAGGGCATGAGCGGCTCTCGCGAGAGGTAGGACCACGGGTCCACGAGGAGCCGAGAGGCGAGGGAAGAGTCAGAAGTTCAGCTGCAGAGATGACGAGATGGGTGGGCTCTAGGGAGAGTCGTTTCTGCCAGGAGCTCGCTGAGCCTCCCAGAGGGTGGCACCAGGCGGTGGGCGCTTCGGGGGAGGGGCGGAGCAGGGGGAGGGGCTGGGCGGAGGCTGGACCCGAGGGCTCTGGGCGGCACCCAGCAGCTCGGGCTCCACCCGGCCGGATCTGCGCCGGAGCCCGCAGTCCCGCGGGCTGCTCACCCACGGCCCACGGTGTGACGTCATGCATGGTGAGCGCCGTCTAGTCCCTGCAGGCACAGGCGTCAGTGCACGGGGCTGCCTTCCCCAAACCACAGGCACCAGAGAAACCCAGCTGCCGGGCACAGGACGGGAGCTCACACCAGCAAGGCTGTGCCACCACCTGGCTGGCACCCACACCCAAGGGCAAAGAAAACAATCACTTTGGGAAACACAGCCAGGCTGACGGGCAAGGGAGACGCCCACATGAGCTGGAATTAATTCACTGGGAAGAAAAACTGAACAAATAGATCCCAATGGTCTGTTTTGTGCATTTTATGGACAACAAGGTCAAGAGCACGTGCGGAGGCTTAGCTTCAGGGCATCAGCCGGAAGCCCACTGAGGACCAACGCTTCTCCTGCCGGGCGGTAGAAACACGCCTGCCCACAGCAGACGCACCCCCCCCCCCCCCCCCCCCCCGCACAGGGCCGCACCCCGACTCATGCCCGGGGAGGCCTCGCCCACAAGGCAGCCTTCTGCAGTCACGGTCACTGAGACACCTGATTGACAGAGTCGATGGATGTTCCCATAGAAACGACGCTTGGAGCGACAAGTCCACTACTCAGATCCAGTGACTGCAATGACAGCATCCTTCCCACGGCTCCACACCAACCGGCACCACACGCGCACTAAAAAGCCTCCTGTGAGCAAGCGGAAGGAGAGGAGACGGGGAGGCGGGGGCAGGCGGGGGCAGGCGAGGGCTCTAAAACACAGGTAAGCTGTGCGTGCGGCCCGCCAGGGAGTGCTGAGGCTGGGGGGTACCACAGCGTAGGGAAGTTTTAACACGGTTCCTTCCGAAACCCTTTGTGCTGATTTCCCCTGCCTGGGATTAACAGAGACAGCAGGTTCGTCTTACAATCAGACACACGCCACAGACAGACAGACGTACACAACCACAGTCTTAACCCAGGAAAGCCCCAAGTCTTCCACTCGACTGAGCGTAGCGCCCTGCCTCTCACTGCTCTCCGGGTCGCTCCCAGGTGGGCGGGCAGGCGGGCTACTTGTTTTATAAAAATCCCCACTTGCTCCAGGTGGGGCTGAGAGCCTTCCAACGCACTCCCCCAACCAATCCACCACCACCAGCCGCTCCACTGTCACCCACCGCTTTGAAATTCTAGCCACAGAGATGCCACGGCAGGGCTGGCCTCACTGCGAAATCTCCAGGAGCCCTGCCCAGGCCCCGGGAGGAGCCCAGCCACTTCCTCGCCAGCGCAGGCGGAGGGGCGCTAGGTGGCCACGTGGGTGGGAGAAGAGATGGACACGAACTCGCGGAGGATGTTCTTGGCCATGTCGATGTTGTTGTGCGCGATGAGCAGGGCTTTCTGGATGTCCTGGTGGGAGTAGCCCTGGCTCAGGAGGCTCTCGATTTCGCTGGAGAGCCGCGGCGAGGGGGCCGCGGCGGCACCTGGATGGCCCGGCCCTGCCTTCCGCTCAGAGTTGATTCTCCGAGGGAACGGCTTGGGGGGTCTCTCGGGAACTGGGGAACCCTCCGCGAAGTCTAGAAGAAATAAGAAAGAAAACGTCTGCAAACCCGGGGGAACCTCAACTATTGGCAGGAGTCACACCAACGTGTGGCCGTCGGTGTCGCTGGCCTCCCTCAGGGGGGCACAGGCTCTTCAGTCCAAGGCTGGTCTACAGGCCGCGCGCCTCCTCCCAGCGAGAGTCCCTGCGAACGGCCCACACCTGCCCTCCCGGCTCTCGCCACTGCTGCCCCGACCTCGTCACGTGGCGCCACGCAGCACCCGTGGCAACACACACCACCCGCCGGGATTCGCGTGGAAGTGTTTCTGAGGGGCCGGAGAAGACACTACAATTCTCCTTTTGCAAATAACAAAGCAGAAACGGGCACAATTCACAGTGAAGCATAAACAAGAGGGGCGGCTGGGTCACCACCTGCTTCGGGACTGGAGGCTGCACATCGCTGCCACCGGCTGTCCCCGTGACAGCTCTGGCCGCTGGTCCCACCAGCCACAGGTGCAGGAAGACAGCCCTGACAGTCCAGCCCAACTGCGGGCTGGCCCCTGGCCAGCACCCCCTTTCCTAGGGAAGGGGGCCGAGTCTGGAATGCATGGCCTGAACCATCGAGCTCGATGGCCATGTCCTCACATCCTCAGAAGCGCCAGGAGCCCTGGGGGAGCCTGTTTAAGGACACACCTCATTCCTACGTCTGGCCAAACCCCAGGGACTGACTGCAGTTTAACTGGACCAGCTTCCCGCCCCTCGGACGGACTTCTTAGTTCACTGCTTCCAGCTCCCAGTTCCTGGGCACCAGGCGGGCAGGCATCTCTGCTCAGCACCAAGGAGGAGCCAGGCAGCCCAAGACTCACCCACGGGGCCGCCTTCCAGAGACAACCAGCCGAAGGAGGAGCTGGCGTTCGAGATGTCGGAGAGTGTCCGGCGGGCCAGCACTGCGGGCACGGGCGGCTTAGGGACATCGTAGCCCTCATCTTCGTTTTCCCATTCCTCGGGGCCAACGCCGGCAGGGGCTGCAGCCACGTTCCCTTCACCTAGAGCAAAGCGCACGCGTTACCTCTTCCTCACATACTTTACCTTTAACACATGCAACAGAAGGCATCCATTCATCCGTGCACGCGTGTACAGTCAGCTGTCACTCCATGTTTACTATGGGCCATGCACCATGTGAGGCCTGTGGGTGGAGACGAGAGAAACAGGAATAAGCCTACCCCACGCCTGTAGCCCCTCCCTGCACAGGCCCAGGCAACCCGCCCCGGGCAGCTCACCAGCATTTACTCTGCATTTCACGCCACGACCAGCAAGGGCCCTGTGCGCGGCCCTCTTGAGCTTTCAACCTGGGGTGCTGGTTAATGCGGAAACTGGGACTCACCACCCACATAGAAGTTCATTGACGCTAAAAAGCAGCGGGAGCGCCCTGGCTGGTGTGGCTCAGTGGGAAGAGCGCTGGCCTGCGGACTGAAGGGTCCCGGGCAGTTCCCAGTCAAGGCACAGGCCCAGGTGGCAGGCTCCATCCCCGTGGGGGGTGTGCCGGAGGCAGCCGATCCATGGTTCTCTCTCAGCATGGATGCTTCCCTCTCCCTTCCTCTGACATCAATGAAGTAAATCCATAAATAACAAGCAATGGGGAAGGGAGCTGCCACACGGGGTCCCGGCCCTGGAAGGAGGGAAAGCACAGAGACTCTGGCTGTGCGAACAGGGAGTAAAAGAGAGGCGGCTTTACTGTCTGTGGGTAAAAGGTATTTTGCAATTAAAATTACTTTCTGCTCAGATCAAGCTCTCACCAGCTAAATGTCCCAGGCTCCTTCCTGGGCCATCCATGACCTCAGGCAGCAGAAAGCTACTCACCGGCAGAGCTGCCCTCTGCGCCGGCCGGTGCCCCCGGGGGCTGCAGGGTGTACATGGCTTCATAGGTGCTGCCGTCCGCCTGCTGGTCACCGCCACCCGCTCTGACCCGGAAGAAAGCAGCACGAGGTCTCAGAAACAGACGTCTGTTACCTGCAGACCCACTGAGACCCATCCACTCCCTGCTGCTCTGGACCCTGACCATCAGGCAGCACTGTCCTTTCACCCAGGGTCACTGCGAGGCGGGGAAATCCACTCCTGTGTGCGTAATGGGTGTGTGTGAGGGTAACAGCTGTGTGTGTGTGTGTGTGTGTGTAACGGGTGTGTGTGTGTGCGTAATGGGTGTGTGTGCGTAATGGGTGTGTGTGAGGGTAACAGGTGTGTGTGTGTGAGGGTAACAGGTGTGTGTGTGAGGGTGACGGGTGTGTGTGTGTGAGGGTGACGGGTGTGTGTGTGTGAGGGTGACGGGTGTGTGTGTGAGGGTAACGGGTGTGTGTGTGAGGGTAACGGGTGTGTGTGTGTGTGTGAGGGTAACGGGTGTGTGTGTGAGGGTAACGGGTGTGTGTGTGTGTGTGAGGGTAACGGGTGTGTGTGTGTGTGTGAAGGTAACGGGTGTGTGTGAGGGTAATGTGTGTGTGTAAGGGTAACGGGTGTGTGTGTGTGAGGGTGACGGGTGTGTGTGCGAGGGTGCTGTGGTGTGTGTGCGTGCGCGCGTGTGCTGTGGTGTGTGTGTATGTGTGTGTGTGAGGGTGCTGTGGTGTGTGTGTGTGTGTGTGCGTGTGCGATGTGGTGTGTGTGTGTGTGTGTGTGAGGGTGCTGTGGTGTGTGCTGTGGTGTGTGTGTGCATGCTGTGGTGTGTGCTGTGGTGTGTGTGTGCATGCTGTGGTGTGCGTGCACGCTTGCGCGCGTATGTGTGCTGTGGGGTGTGTGTGCGTGCTGTGTGTGCTGTGGTGTATGTGTGCGTGCTGTGTGTGCTGTGGTGTGTGTGTGCGTGCTGTGTGTGTGCTGCGGTGTGTGTGTGTGTGCTGTGTGTGCGCTGTGTGTGTGCGTGATGGTGTGTGTGTGTGCACGCTGTGGTGTGTGTGCTGTGGTCTGTGTGTGTGTGTGCTGTGGTGTGTGTGTGCGTGGTGTGTGTGTGCTGTGGTGTGTGTGTGTGTGTGTGTGCTGTGGGGTGTGTGTGCACGCTGTGGTGTGTGTGTGTGCTGTGTGTGTATGTGTGTGTGTGTGCTGTGGTGTGTGTGTGTGTGTGTGTGCTGTGTGTGTGTGTGTGCTGTGGTGTGTGTGTATGTGTGTGTGTGAGTGCTGTGGTGTGTGTGTGCTGTGGTGTATGTGTGTGTGTGTGCTGTGTGTGTGCTGTGGGGTGTGTGTGTGTGCTGTGTGTGTGCGCTGTGTGGGGTGTGTGTGTGTGTGCTGTGGGGTGTGTGTGTGTGCTGTGTGGGGTGTGTGTGTGTGTGCTGTGGGGTGTGTGTGTGCTGTGTGTGTGCTGTGTGGGGTGTGTGTGTGTGTGCTGTGGGGTGTGTGTGTGCTGTGTGTGTGCGCTGTGGGGTGTGTGTGTGCGCTGTGGGGTGTGTGTGTGCTGTGTGTGTGCTGTGTGGGGTGTGTGTGTGTGCGCTGTGGTGTGTGTGTGTGCTGTGTGTGTGCTGTGTGGGGTGTGTGTGTGTGCGCTGTGGGGTGTGTGTGTGTGCACGCTGTGGTGTGGAGGAAACAGAAGTGGATTTGCTTAAGCTGTGAGCAGGCTGAAGCCTGAGCGGGGACTGGGGCTCGCGTGTGCTGCGAGGCAGCAGTGGGCAAGCGGGGCAGCTGGGAACCCACCGTAGGCTCGGGGCGGTCTCGAAGGGCTGCTTCCCCTCTGGCTTCTGAAGGCCCAGGGGCCTGGAGGAGGGAGTCATGTACTCGGCGTCCTCCTCGCTCTCACGCTGCGCCCCGGGCAACAGCGTGGGCACAGGAAGAGGCCTGGAAGAGGAATAAACGCAGAAAAAGAAAGCAAAGAAGCTGGAAAACCTCCGAGTGTGAAACAAGGTTTCACAACCACCACAGCTCCAATGTGAGAGCAAAACAGGTGCCAGCAGGGGACTCTTCCCCTCCGGGCCCAGGGGCCTGCGAACAGCACACTCCTGGGGGGGGCGCAGGGTAAGTGGCGATGGACGGAGAGCTGGCCCAGGTGGTGAACACACTGTGTGCAGAGGATGTGCTGTCGGCTGTGCACCTGAAGCCTGTATAATTCTGCAAACCAGTGTCACCCCGATAAACTCTATGGAGGGGAAATGTTAATAAAAACACACTAACTTCCACTTCACTTTTAACTGGCCAAGGCGAGCTGCGTGCTGAGCAGCGTGCACTGGGAGAGGCTCTGTGCCAGGGAGCCGGCCCCGCACCGGGCCATCGCTGCCGCGGGCTCTGTCCCTGACCGCACACCTCAGCTCCAACACCTCCTTGCTGAAAGCTTTCTCATATATCATCTTGTAGCATAAGCAGTTTCCTACTCATACTGTGCAAGAAAAATAGGAAATAAAAAGATATGCAGTGTCACGGCCGTCAGCGTCAAACCTGGGACCACCCCCCAGTTCCCAGGCCCTGGCCTTCCGGGATCTGGCCCCTGCACTCACACATAATTCTCAAATATTAACGGAACTCCGCCTGTCACCCGACTCTCTAAGACTAGGCAAAGAGGCATCAACATGAAAGAGACAACACAACCCCGCCATCCTGTGAGAAACATACACGGGGAGCACAACTGCTCCTGGTGACAGGAGTTCGTGAGTTTCTCCGCCCTCCTCACTGTGCTTTTTTGCACATTCTAAATATTCTAAGAAATACCTATTGGATTTGTCAGTCAGTGTTTACTTGATGTTTAGTTTGCCTAATTGTAAAAGCAAAAGCTGCTTATTAAAAATACTTAAATGCTACAGAAACCTAACAGAGGACCATCCCCTATAATCTCACTTCAGAGTTTTTCTATTTCTTCCTATTATGTTTATTATTTGTGCATTGCATGCTAGTTCTGAAGTAGAACTCTATTGGTATCTACAATGTGCCTAGAGATGCATCAATAAAGTAAGAAAGATTGACGGATGGGTAAAAATACAGATAGATAAATGTGTGATAAAACAAGCATAATAAAATACTAATGGTAGAACCTAGGCCAGCCGTGGGCAAACTACAGCCCGCGGGCGGATCCGGCCCATTTGAAATGAATAAAACTAAAAAAAAAAAAAAGACCGTACCCTTTTATGTAATGATGTTTACTTTGAATTTATATTAGTTCACACAAACACTCCATCCATGCTTTTGTTCCGGCCTCCGGTCCAGTTTAAGAACCCATTGTGGCCCTCGAGTCAAAAAGTTTGCCCACCCCTGACCTAGGCGGTGAATATACGAATGTTCACTGTAAAAAATCTTTCACTCTTGCTCAGCTGGTGTGGCTCAGTGGTTGAGTATCAACCTATGAACCAGGAGGTCACATTTCAATTCCCAATCAGGGCATATGCCTGGGTTGTGGGCTCAATCCCCAGTAGGGGATGTGCAGAAGACAACTAATCAATGATTCTCATCGTTGATGTTTCTATCTCTCTGTCTCTCTCCCTTCTTCTCTGAAATAAATAAAAGTATGTTTTTAAAAAATCTTTCACTCTTACTCTATGTTTTAAAACTTTTCATAATAAAATGTTTGGGGGAGGGGGGGCAACCCATAAAGATTAGCAAAAAAAAAACAAGTATTGGTGAAGATGTAGGAAAAAGGGTATTTTCTTTTTTAAATGGATAATTTCTTATAAATATATGCTATAACTTTTCTGGAGTGTAATTCAGCAAAAGTATTTAACCAAACATGCAAACCCTTATACTCAGAAATTCCATTTCTAGGAATTTCCCTGAGGAAATAATCAAGAATGTCCACCATAGCATTATTTATACTAAAATAACCGGCAACAACCTGTCAAATAACAATGAGCTGACCACATTTTAAACAGCCCCGCCCCGCCCCCCACACCCGACTGAAGTTGCCTGTGTCCCTTAGCGCCTCAGAGGCCTCTGCCCCTGCACAGCAGGTCTTATCTACTCCCACAGGGAGAGCGCACTTAGGTCAGCTCCTCTGCTTTTTTTTTTCCAGCTCCCTTTTCAGCTCCTCTGCTTTGTGAGCAACTGAAATAACCTGAAAATCACTGCAGTAGAAGAATATGTAATGACATTCTAAGATGTGTGAGATACTCCTCGTGAAAAGCAGCATGTGCAGTATGACCCGTACACACGGAACAGCAGTGAACACACAGCACATGCTCACTGAGGTAAGGCTATGGCTGACTTCCATTTCTTCAGCATTGCGTGTCTGTACTTTCTATATATTCTTTATTTACACGTTACTTCCATAAAAAGAAAAAAGTCATTACAAGAGCAATAAAATTTTAAATTATAATTCTTTTTGTTGATGAGTTACTCTATATAAAAGGTTAATATGCTAATTAGACCGGACAGCCAAACGACCTTCCGGACGAAGCCGGGGCTGCGAGGGCCAAGCCCCTTGCACCATTTCATGCATCGGGCCTCTAGTCTAATAATAATAAAAGTGTAGTATGCTAATTAGACCGGATGTCCTTCCAGACGACTTTCCAGATGAAGCCGGTGCTGCAAGGGAAGCCCGGGTCCTGGGTGTCAGAGGGAAGCCAGTGCCGGCAGCTGGGGGAAGGAAGGCCTACTCTTGCACGAATTTCGTGCATCGGGCCTCTAGTAAAAACATAAAAATGCACCTCCTCATTAAGCATTCTGCCAACACATATTTTATTTTTTAAATATATTTTTTTATTGATTTCAGAGAGGAAGGGAGAGGGAGAGAGCTAGAAACATCAGTGAGGAGAGAGAACCACTGACTGGCTGCCTCCTGCACACTCCCTATTGGGGATCGAGCCTGCAACCCCAGGCATGTGTTCTGACCGGAATCGAACCCCGGATCTTCGGTCCACAGGCCAACACTCTACCCACTGACCCACACCAGCCAGGGCCCAGCACATATTTTAAAACATTCACCATCTTTAGTCACAAAAATTCTACTTTGGCTGCATCTCTGATTATGTAAAAAAAGTTCTTCAAAACAAATTTATTACAGTAAAGCTTTTAAACAAAATAAATACACAACAATAGGGGAATGATTAAAATATGTGATAGTAATAGTCACATTATATATGTAATCATGAAAAGTACAGATTTTGGCCGAAACCGGTTTGGCTCAGTGGATAGAGCGTCAGCCTGCGGACTGAGGGGTCCCGGGTTCGATTCCGGTCAAGGGCATGTACCTGGGTTGCGGGCATATCCCCAGTAGGAGATGTGCAGGAGGCAGCTGATCGATGTTTCTCTTTCATCGATGTTTCTAACTCTCTATCTCTCTCCCTTCCTCTCTGTAAAAAATCAATAAAATATATTTAAAAAAAATAATTAAAAAAATAAAAGTGCAGATTTTGAAGAACTTTTTAAATAGGGAGAAATGCCCAAGATATAATGCTAAAAAAGGAGAGAATATAAAACACTATCTTGATCTAAAACATATATACATTTTACATGTTTACAGCCACGGCCAAGCAATAAGCTATCTAACCATCTGCCTAGAACAGCCAACTAAAGAAGCACGATAAAATACAAAAGAAAGAAGGCACTGGGAGAGAAAGCTGAGAACCCTATGATCTCACTCACGTGCGGGATATAAAACGGAAACTCGCGGACACAAACACCCGTGTGGTGGGGGCCAGAGGGAAGGGGTATGGGTGTGGGGAGAAGGGGGCCTAATATGAGGTGACAGAAAGTGATTTGACTCCGGTGGTAGGGACACCATGCACTACAGATCTGGTCACACAGAAACCCACACCTGAAACCTACATGCTCATGGTGGCCAATGTCACCCCAATCAATTGAAACAGAAGGCTCTGGGAGAGCAACCGGACAGCCAGCGCTTGCGAGGCGGCCGGGCTCCGGAGAGGAGAGCACACTGCCGGAAGCACCACACTGCACCTGGGGTTTCCAGGTGGTTTCAACAGGCTGGGCATTCGGGGTATCAGAATGGCCATCTGTGAGGGCCAACAATCCTGGAGAAAGGAGGAGCAGAGGAGGAGAGTTAAACTGTGCTGCAGGGTCCCTGGAGTCGTGCTGACCCCTGACCCGCGTGCCTGGAGTCGTGCTGACCCCTGACCCGCGTGCCTGGAGTCGTGCTGACCCCTGACCCGCGTGCCTGGAGTCGTGCTGACCCCTGACCCGCGTGCCTGGAGTCGTGCTGACCCCTGACCCGCGTGCCTGGAGTCGTGCTGACCCCTGACCCGCGTGCCTGGAGTCGTGCTGACCCCTGACCCGCGTGCCTGGAGTCGTGCTGACCCCTGACCCGCGTGCCTGGAGTCGTGCTGACCCCTGACCCGCGTGCCTGGAGTCGTGCTGACCCCTGACCCGCGTGCCTGGAGTCGTGCTGACCCCTGACCCGCGTGCCTGGAGGTGGCTTCTGGTTCCTCAGGTGACAGCGCTGCCAAGGAGGAGCAGATGCGGCTGTGCTGCCAGCTGGAAGGCCTCTCCAATAACCATGTGTTCAATAAGAGAGGAGAGTGGGGAATTTTTATTAGAAAACTAAAATCAATACATTTTTGAAAATGACATGGAAATTCTAGAACCCAAAATTATTCTATCTGGCCCTAGCCAGTGTGGCTCAATGGATAGAGCTCGGCCTGCGGACTGAAGGGTCCCAGGTTCGATTCCGGTCAAGGGCATGTACCTCAGTTGCAGGCTCCTCCCCACCCTGGACCCTGGTTGGGGCTTGTGCAGGAGGCAACCAATCGATGTGTTTCTCTCACATTGATGTTTCTCTCTGCCTCTCCCTCTCCCTTCCACTCTCCCTAAGAATCAATGGGGAAATATCCTCAGATGAGGATTAAAAAACAAAACAAAACCGCCCTAACCGGTTTGGTTCAGTGGATGGAGTGTCGGCC